CCTCGGCCTCCCAGAGTACTAGGATTGCAGGCGTGAGCCACCGCGCCCGGCCTGCAGATCCCTCTTAACCAGTGTTTCCTAGACCTGCAGTCCCAACCCCCAGGCCGGGGACCCGAACCAGCCCGTGGCCTGCTAGGAACCTGGCTGCACAGCACGAGAACAGCGCGAGAGCGAGCGAAGCTCTGCCATATTTACAGCCGCTCCCCATCTACCCACTGCTTGCATCGCTGCCTCCGTCCCGCCTCCCCCCAGATCTGTGGAAAAACTGTCTTCCATGAAACTGGTCCCTGGTACCAAAAGGTTGGAAACCAATGTCCTAGACTATTTTTCTCATTTAAGTTTCAATGATCCAAACTGACTTATAGTGATAACCTTTAGCTTAAATTCTTGCATCTTTTAGTGCAACATGGATAAGATTTATTGAGCTACCTTTTCGGTTAAAAGATGACTCTCTGGACATAAAATTAGAATATATGAAAAGTGCAATCAGTCACTAAAGCTATTTCCCTAACTCTAAGGAGTGAAGGAAATTCATAAACTGCTAACATCAGTCATCAGCTGTTGTTGCTTGTTCACATGCACTAAACCACAGCTCAAGAGACAGCTCTTACAGATGACACTGAACATCAAGTTTCATATGAGGGGCATGAGAATCTGTGGTTAGGATAAAAATCAGCTCTATAATATGGAAGGGAATTTTACATGCAATGCATATACAACCGGTGTTTGGAAATTTTAATGTACTTCACATTTCAAATAATGTAATTTCAAAGAGGAAAAAGAAAATGACTTGGTCGAGTGGAAAGGCCAAGCTGTGGATAAATGAGGAAGGCTGACATGCAGGTGCTGACACCTTGGGAGGCTGGGAAAGATGGCTGCTCCTTTCCTACCCGGGTATAGGCACTGAAAGCAGACGCTTTTGCTTTAATTTTAAGTGAATCTCACATACAGAAAAAAATAGTACTGAAAATAAACATAGCACGATTCCAATTTAATGCTTTGATTTTTATTTATATCCAAATAGCATACAAATTTAAAAACTCAGAAATCAGCAAATTACCTTGAATGTAGCTCTGTGCTGCCATTATTATATTTGCTTCCTCTTTCCCAGACACCAAAGTCGGGAACACGGTAAACCCTTTCTACACAAAATACAAGGTTTTGAATAAAAGAGACCTAAAAGAAAAGAAAGAAAACATAAGGACATATGCAATAACAGGATCTTTAGATACTGAAGAGAATAATTAATACCATTTGAAAACCAAATATGGGGCGGGGGAATGGCAGACTAAGAGTGACCTCCTTGCTCTCTGCTCCCAGAGTACGAGGTGAAGAACGCGGACAGCTACACGCCAGGAAGTCGCTCTCCCAGAGGATCAGTTTCGTGAATCTGCAGAGAAGCAGTGAGGGACAAGCTGCACTGCGGGGAAAAAAAGGTGAGCCAGAGAATCCACCGCAAAATCCGGAGAGCGCGGGATATACAGTGGGGAGCGGAGCGTGGGAAGGCCGCGCCCTCCCGGCTGGCCGGGGCAGGGTGATCTGTCCCACGGGAGGACGACTCCTCCTTCACCGACCTCACACCCTCGCAGGCAGGGAAGCGCCTAAGTCAGTGCGAAGTGGTGGCAGGGCCGACAGGCGGCGGGGCGTAGAGACGGGAGCCGGAAACACTTTGAACTCTCTGGTGCGCGGTGCTAGGTCCGCTTTGGGGGAGGGGGCGGCGCTTCTCTGAGCGGACACTTCCCGATCCGACAGCAGAGAGTTTGGAGACAGGCTTCCGGCCTCGGGACTCCACCAGGACCAGACTGGGGGAGGTGAACACCATAAGGGAGGCTCTGCCCTCGGAAACCACCACCGCAGGCGCCTCCAGCGCCGACTCTCGGGAGGGGGGCAGCCACCATTTTGGGAGTCCGTAGCCTAAAATTACTGGGGCCTGTTGCCCAGGCAATGGTGGGAGTCAGCGCCTGCCTCCGCCTGGCACAGAGGACGAGAGTAAGGCGAGAGGCCGCTTTCTCTCCCAGCCCTGCGGAGGGTCTTCCCCAGCCTGCGGCTCAAGCTCCGCCTTTGAAAAGTCGGAAAAGGGAGAGAGACCGCTTTCTCCGCCGACCTGCAAGGCGGTCTCGGGCGCCCGTTCCACGCTGCCGCGGGCGCTTCGTGCCAAAAAGACGGAGAACAGAAGGAGGCTACTTGTTGAGCCGTGACCCGGAGTGACATAACCACCCTCACTCCCAGGCGACTCCTCCCCCCCACCAACGCCTCAAGCCAAAGGGACTGACTCTGCCCCTGGGCGGAGCTGTAAAAGGTGGTCGCCCCCCGTTTTTTTTATCTTTTTCTTTCTTTTATTCCTTTTTTATGATTATTTTTTATTTTAACAGGTAATTTGG